CACCCAAGTGATAGTTTCCTACACATTTAGCTATTCCCTTTAAAACTCAGGTAACTTAAGTAGATCATTCAGGGACTAACTCATTATGTTTTCTAGATTCTACCATCCCTCAGTACCTAAGTTAGCGTATATGTTTGTTGAAAACTACCCAAGCCTCAATTTTTCCTTCTCTTCCCAAGTTGCTATAGCCTAGAAGAAAAGGGGTCATTACATCTTCTCATGCCCATAGCCCAAGATGTTTTGCAGGTGAACGTCAGTGAGGGAAGAGAGTGGACAGCTGAGACCATCATAATTTCTCTCTTCCAAGTAACTGTTTTCACTGCTTTCCAAAGCAGTGTCTAGGCACTCTGGTAGCTGAATTTGAGGTAACCTAAACCTACTTGCTTTCCTTCTGGGACCATCAGCAAACACCAGGAGTCCAAGTGTGCTTGTAACATTGAAGCCCAGCAAGTAATGTGAGATTCACTCTTGCTTCTGAGGAAAGATGACCTGTTATATTCCAGGATTCACACAGTGGGTCTCTAAGCACACACCTCCCATTGCATTATAACAATGACAAAGATCCAACTGTTCATTGGTTCAACAAGTATTGATGTGCATATGAGGCGGTAGCACTGTTTAGGGTACAAGGAGATCATAGTGAACAAGACAAAGTTCTTGTCTTCTGGGAGTTCACATTCTAGAGGAGATACACATGTTATGTATAACACAAATTAAGTGGATTGAGAGTAATCAGAGATGCTATTTTGGATAAGACAATCAAGGGAAGTCTTTTCTAAGTCTTTGCCATTTGAGCAAAGACTTAGAAGTGAGGGAACAGGTGAGACATGAGCACTGCAGGGGGACAAATGCCAGTTGGTGCAAAGGCTGAGACTGAAGTGGATTTGGCACCTTTAGCGAAGGAGGAGGGTCAGCGAGGCCCGAGTGGCAGGGTGGTGGGAGGGGGTCGGATGTGACTCGGACAGCATTCCCAGAGCACCCCAGCCCTTTCCCTGGGACTGGAGCAAGATACACTCTTTCTTTACTTGGAGAAGCTTTTCTCTAATCTCTCATCAGACAGTGTGTACAGGGCCAACTTCTTGCCTCCATGGTGGGACCCCCAAAAGTAACACTTCACTAAGCAACCTGCTGGCCCTACACTGCTCCTCAATTTCTTTTGTCCAAAGAGTTATTCCTGAGCTTGTCTCAGGGGTTAACCACCTCACTGTTTTCCCACCTTATGCAGTGGGAAAGGGTGTCAGCAATTAATGCCAGGGGAAGAACTGGCCCAAGGAGTGAGCTAAGAGGTGTGGCAGACATTATTAGCACTGCTCCTCGTACCCAGCTCAGCCCACCTCCTTCCTGTGTTGAGGCCATGAAGCTACTTCAGGCTCCAGAGCTGTGAGCCATCTCAGCTTGCATGACTTCTACTTGCACAAGACCCTCTAGCGCTCTCGTTGCCGCAGTGTCCTGGGAGCACGTTCCACATGATGGAGCTAAAGGAGGTGGAGCTGCCTTCGGCCCATACAGTCACTTGGACCTGCAGCAGACGTGGCTTGAGCAGGAAGTACACCTGTTCTGTGTGTTAAGTTATTGAGATTTTGGTGATGTTACTACAGTAAAACATAACCTATCCTTATAGGGAGGGCTTGATTTCCCTGCAAATTAATAGCACGGGGTCTTCACCACTGCTGTTAGGATATTAACAATCTTTGCAGACCCACTTTGGGCAGGCAGTGCGGCAGAGTGCTACAAACTGCAGGCCCTGGAGCCAGAAAGCCTGGGCCTGAATCCCACTTACCTTCAGAGGTGTGGACTCAGAGGTACATTAGGTCAACTTCCTGGGCCTCAGTTTTATTGCCCATAAAGTGGCAGTAAAAGTAATAATGCTACTTCACATAATTGTTAGGAAGACCAAGTTAGTATTAATATGTGTAAAAAAAACCAGATTAGCCTGTACATGGTAATTGATCAGTGAATTGCTAGAACCATGTCAATATCAATACAATCACTACACTCTCTTTTGGGATAAGCATTTTGCTTTAACAGATTTTGAGTCAGTAAAAATGTATGTGTTTAAGAATGGAAAGGCCCGTATTGTTTACCATGTTCTACCACTCACACAGATGGTCAGCCATCTGTCTTCAGCATCTTCTGCAAAACACCACGCCTGCTTTGCCCCTGCTATTCTGCAGCAATTCATTGTGCTGCTCCTGTCCCTGCCTCTGCGTGTCAGTAAGCCCACGAGCAGCTGGGGCAGAACAACAAAGTGAAGCCTGCAGAGGGCAGCTCTGTTAGCAGGGAAGAAATAGCCCACAGAGGTTTACGGGGACCGCTTGCCTGAACAGCAGAGCCATCACAGTCAGCGGACGAAATGGAGGTAAGACAGCTCTAGTGCAGAATGTACACAGTACTCAGTAGGTCATCCGTCTATCTATAAAGGTTTCCACTGAATAAGAGGTATGTTTAGAGAGCAAAGGCTTTCTTTGCTACCAAGTTTCACTGTGAGGTTTCATTTTAATCACAAACTTCTCTCTCATCTCTGCTTGTCACGATTCTCTTCCTGCAACCTTTCAGTTTTCCAGAAAGGTTGACCCAACTGATTAAATTCTTAATCACAATTAAAAACCTCCTTTCCTTTGACTGCTGCACAGTCTTGCACCATTTCACAGTAAAAATCCTAGAAAGCCTTTACCTCTTCACCTGCTAAGCTTTTAGGAGTATCAGTTACCTGATTTTGTCCTCACAGCAACCCTCAGCAATAGACACTAATACCATCCCCATGTTAGACATGAGAAAGCCATGGCTTAGCAAGAATTTTAGAAATAGTTTTAGCCAGGCTTAGCAGTGCAGTAAAGGTTTTAGAATTAGCAAGCAGTAGTCAGGATTCAGCTATCCAACTTTAAAGCCCACTTTTGCTGGGGCATAAGCTTGTGTCAAGACTGCCTCAGCCTTGAATTTCATCTGCGTTACAGATTACTAGCTGCATGACAGTGGGTGAGGAGCCTGACCTTTGTGTGCCTTGGCTTCATCTATAAACCATGGCCTTTAAGGAACAAATGAGACTAAAAGAGACAAATAAGCTAACTATATGCTATTAGTTCTTGTAAAAGTTTGGATGAGAGAGGGTACACCACTTGGTCCTGAGTTGTTTTCCATGAATAGTGTCTGAAACACTTGAGTGCCTGAATAGGAAATATGCACCGACTACACTTCCTAACAAGCCTAAACGTCTCAAACCCCAGATTTCATAACTCTGTAAGTATATAACTGGAGTCAGTGGTATTGTCATCAGCACTTTAACCAGTTTTAGAGAATGCTGAACCATTTTGAATATTGTTTAATTAGTCCTAATTTCTGCATCATTCTTATAAACAACTGGACCTGGGCTTAATATTTAAACACTGAGGGCAGAGAAATGAATGACAAATTTTCTCTAAGTGATAGGAAAGGTACAGATGAGGAAAAGTGGTAAAGATAAAGGAACTAGACATGTTTCCCTTTAGAGAAGCCCATTAAATATGGTGTCTATGTCAGTATTGATCAACCATCTGTACTAGAACCAAACGCAGTGGCTGGTAAAAGTCCAATTCCAGACTTACTGAATCAGATTCTCTGGTGGTTGCTCAAGAAACATTGTTTAGCTGGCTCTCAGGTGCTTTAGATGGATTCTAAAGTTTAAGAACCACTTGCCTAGTTTAAAACATGAGCAATGGTTGCAAAATCTCAGGATACTTTTCAAAATGTTTTTGAGGAATCAAGAAAAAACCCCCCACTAATTGAATGGCTCGGTAATAGTTGAAGTTGTACATGTACATGACAGTGTTTTCTTTCTTCTCACTAGAGATGCCAATGTCTCCTATGGACTAAAATTCTCCCATGCTACTTTGCAGTTATGGGGAGATACTTTGCAGTTATTAACATGGAAAATGTCACTGTGTCTACTCATATAGCTTTCTCACAAAATGTCAAATGCAGGAAGAACTGCTTAATTCTCCCTTCTAAGCATCTAACACAATAATATCTCATTTTCTGAAACTCAGCTATCCAAGCACTCTGTTGGGAGAAAAGAACAAAATATTCTGAGTAATGAAAAAATAGATGATACCAAGTCAAATCTTTCAGGGCCCCAGCTCAGGATTACTTTTGCTCATCATTTTGACAAGTGTATTCATTTTGAATGGCAATGTAGGGGAAGAGGAAGGTTTACAGATAGATCGTAGACAAGAAATGACAACAGAAAGAAAAGGAGGGTATAGGAAATTAAGAAAAATACCAATTAAGAGCATAAAAGGATGGTGGTGGTAGAGCATTTGGTATAGAAGCAAACTCTTTTATCTCACTGTGCCCCGAGGGTATCACTCTATTATAATACAGCAATCCCTAGGAATAAATGGTGACTCCTCAGGTATACTGACAGCAAAGTTTATGGCTTGAAATATACGATGGAAATATTTTGAGTATTTAAAATAAAAATCAAACCTTGCAATTTTAAGAGGTAGACAGACTCGACTATGGAGAGACATGGCCAACTAAAATGCCCTGCAGATAGTTGCAGATGCCCAGTTTTAGTGTAATGAGGAGTAACACTTTAAAATGTGCCTGTTCCCAAAGGAACCACAAACGACTAAAATTTCAAACACTCTCAGTGTATTTGTTGCTGATTCTTCAATGATAAATACACATTTTAAGAGGCAGATACTATATTTTCATCAGGATGAAGGGAATTTGGTGATGAAATAGCTGGTGTGGAAAATGAGTTCCAGAAAATTAAGATGCAGTGGAAGTGCCTTACATGTCTTTCCCTTAATCCCATCTGAGCAGTTTCCATGGGAACACATGTTCGGGTCTAGGAGTGTTTATTGAAAGCAGATGTCTATCTTCACTTACAGTCTGGAGTATGTATGCAGGTCTATGAAAGATGGCTGGCTAGCCATGGCCATGCACTACACAGGCACTTTCCCTATTACTGGCAAAAGGGGAAAGGCCCTTTATATTTTAGAATGAAGAATGACTTGTAATTTATGACTCCCAACAGGAAAACTAGGATTTTAATAGCTGAACATTGAAGGTTTTTTTTCCTCAAAAAATCCTGGTTGATACTGAAATATTTCTTCTGAGAACTCTGGCACAGGAATGTGCTCTGGAGCCCCCATCAGGCAGCTGGGCCCTAGCAGTACTTGTCCCACTGATCCACTTTCTCTGGTTTGCCATAAGCCGGTTTGCCATAAGCCAGCTTGCCACAGGTAGATGATTCTTTTTGGTCATTTCACTCTGAAGAGTAAACACGATGTCCAAGGTGCTTTGTGTGAATCTTTAGAAATACGGTTTTTATCCAGAATCCCCTTCTGGAGAACCCTGAGATAAGCAGCCAATTCACTTTCCTGGGAACTGCAAGCTTGGATCAGGCTACAGCATAGCGCACAGAGCCCTTACCGCGGCCCAAGGGTAGCAAGTCTGCCCAGGCTTTCCAGGACAGATGAAGAGGGCTCTGCAGTCCTAACCATCTGTAGGCGAAATGTTTTGTGAGGTCCAAACTGTCTGTAAGCCAAAGATACTGTTTGACCTGGGGAAAAGCCGGTCAGGCAGCATCCTGTGGCAAACAGGAGACACCAAACCCCTTCCTTCAAATAACTATACCTCCTGGTATAATACTGTCACACAACTACTCATCTTTTGGTCTGAATACCTCCAATTACCCCACCTATTTTGTTATAATTCATATTAGGTTAAAAAAGGAAACACATACACAAAGAAGTCTGTTTTAACCTGAAATAATTTTGTTGATATTGAATTGCTTTCCGTGGGACATTTGCTTTAAACCACAAGATATCTCCATCTGGATTATCAGTACAAAAATCCCTTCTCTCCCCCCATCCCCAATCAAAACAAACAAACAAAACCCCAAACCCACAACTCAGCTTCAAATAAGTTTTGAAGAAATGAGACTCTAAATATTTACATATGGGTTGAGAAATAAATCACAAAACTATTTACAAAAATACACAAGCTTATATGCATTAACAATTTACACCAGTTCACAAAAATATTAAAACATAAAAAACACTATATAAATTAAAGTTAAGAACTCAAAAGTATGTTCTAAGACTTCCTAGGATGCTTCTCTCATGCAGGTCATGGTTGAAAAATCAGGTTTTGCTACCTTAGAATCTAAACTGTAAAACAACCATTTTTATTCTCTGAACACTAATAGTACTAATCGGAAAAGTAAAAAAGACCCTTTGTGCACACCGACATTATCTCGCACAGTTAATATACTACTCCTGATGTTTCTGTCACACACAGTACTGAAAAATCACATGCCTCTAGCCACTTGTTAGTCATTTTCCGACATACTGTCTGCTTTCATTTGTATTTCCCTATACACACTGCTCAGACAATACTTTGCCAAATATTGAATAGATGATCGACAGGGCTGGGAACAGGTACATGGACTTTGCAGACTCCTTTTCCAATGAAAGGGGCAAATTTCAAATTTACATCATATGCATCTATTGCTATTTCAGATGTGGTAACCTATTCATAGCCCTACTCACATTAACGGTCCCTCTTCTTTTTTACAGAGCTAGTCCTAGAATTTTTCAACCTGACCCTAACTTTAAAAAAAATCCTTTTCCATTATAAAAATGTACAGGCCCTATCCTTGGGATCATCCCAGGAACTTGCATGTTTAAAAGGAAACTGAATACAGTAAGCAATAAGGCTCAGATGAAATTTATTGATAAGAACATGGCACCTCTGGGGCTGTTAACAAAGTTTCTGGCCAGACATCCAGGGAATATTAATTTCAATCAAACCAAACTGTGGCATCAGAATTTTGCCAAAAAATTTGGAGACATGGCAATGAAAATGCCAATAGAATTAAATTATGGGTTTAATGCATAAGGCAGCTCCATTTCCTTGACCACAATGCTCCACCTCAAAATTTGAAAGCAATAATACTTAATCACTCTATTTGTGAAGTCACACACAAGTGAACTATGCTGAGGTAACCTGGCTCACAGTGACCTGCCATCCATTGTCTACCCTATGATATCAGAAAGGGAAAGATACAGGAAAAGTCCTTCAAATACTGAATCCAAAGTTAAGGCTGTATCTACGTACACTAAGCAAAAGAACTCTAGACGTTACCTAAAGGTTGTGTTTCACAATTATACCAGTCATAATTTGAATCATCATTCTGCATTCAAAATATTGACCTGATATTTCTAAGCCAATAGGACATTACTAAAGTAATTGCTTTGAGGAATTAACCTTAGTATTTAAAAAACAGACATTGGTTTCTGGAGTAAACAATGTGCGTGACAATAAACCCACAACTATCAAACTGGACAGGACTTTACAGGACTTTTTCAGCCACTTCCTTTTGGGCCCTCAGTTACTAAAGCAATTTGTATCTCCTGGTCACACCAGCCCCTCTTTGTAGTTTCCATGGTGCTGGTGAGGACTTACAGGGCTTATGTGATCTCAAAGGGGCAATGTGTTGCCTACTTGACAAAAGGATGGTTATGGTTAAAAAAAAAAAAATTTAAGTGTTGCATATTCACCAAAGATCAACTCCTGTATATAGCACCCAATGCGCCTGTGTGCTAAATGGAAATTCCTATCAGGGTTCCTAATATTGTCACTATGTACCAGTTGGGTCTGCACTTTTAACATAGAGGCTTAAATTTCCACAGACCTTTTCACATATTAATATTTCAGGATTTTCAGCAAGATCTTTATTTAATTCCTCTGATCAGTTCTGGGGGAACAAAAGAAAACCTTAGAGTATTTCCACATATAAATAAATGTGTTATTCTTAAAACTTTATTTCTTTTTCTAAATATAAACCCTTAAAATGAAATCACACAACTTTTTTGAAATAAAAAAGCTGGCATGAAGAATCCTAATCTTTACACATTTTCACAGCAATAATAGCAGCATGAATTTAGCCTCTTAGAAGATTTCTTTCATTGCTCTAAATAAAAGTTAATTCCAAATTTTAAAAAGCCAGAGCAACAATCATCCAGTAAATGGAATGCAATTCTGTTGTCTTCTATACACTGAGCATTTAAAACGTGAATGTATAAAACTCAAGTATTATTAAGAGTTATGGAATGAAATGACAATCTAAACTTGTTTTGTGAATACAGGACTGCCTTGCTAGTCTGGTGTAAATGGTGGGGTGGGATGGGAAAATGGAATGGAGTTGAGCTAGACAGGTGTGTGCTCCTACTTTAATCAGGAATGCAACTTTCAAAAGAAAGTCCTGGGTATTAAACATGTTTAACATGTCTACAGAGTTACAGGAACTATACCTGAAATGCTGGTGTAAATGGCAATTACAGTAAGACTGTGATCGCGCAAGTACAGAGTGAACGAACAGTACATTAACTCCTTAGGGCATAAATGGTAATTGCCAAGAATTCCAACTGGTAAAACAGGCTGTGCACTAAGTGGTTACTGCAAGGGCTTGCAGTTTACTAGCAGATAATTCACATACTTTAAGTTGAATTTCAAGGAAACTTCTACACTGGTTTAGAAACAAATTAGCATGTGAATTTATAACTGTGACAACTTGTATGTGTTTATCTAGTCAAACTATTCTGTTTTTTTCTTTTCAATGAAAAGTTGCTTTAGGAAAACAAATTAAGTGAGATGTTTTACTAGAATTATAACTTAGCAGATATTACTGAAAAAAATACCTGAAGGCAGGCAACACATTAGAAGTACTGATATCATTTTCTGGTGCTAACAAAGTTTACTGGTTTCCACATAAGAAATCTCTTTAACTGCAACTTTAAAACATCCCTTCTACAGGGATATATGCCTCACTGAAGTGTGAAGAACAACTATGAAAAAAAAAGAATGTAAAGAACATGGTTCAGCCTGGGTCTAATGATCTAACATTTTATAATGACCATTTATTACATGTTCAAAGTCTTAATTCCTTTATGTTTAGTTAAAATATTTGCTAATTTTCTGATGGACTTATCTGAAGGATCAGAAAAGTTTTTCTCCATTCTATTTTAACACCCAAGATCCTTCTAAGACAGGGAGGATGAAGTGAGCAAAACTGGGTGTCCACCTGGTTTAGCTGCACGGCTCCTAGGAAGCTAAGTAGGAACAAGGCAGAAAAGGCAAACGCCCACCAGGAGACGGACAGACTGGCTCTGAGCTGTGCAACAAATACCAAGAGGGACAAAGCTAAATTCAAAGTCAGTTAAAGGCAGTCCTCAGGCTGTTACAAATTAGCCCTATGTGGCAAGTACGGTCTGTGATAAATTTCTCTACTAGGTTTTCAACACAGTGCTTCACAATCGTTCAGATCTCTTTTAGTGACAAAAATGACAGTTTATAGATGGAAGAGGTGGCAGTTAAGCAGGGAAGGGGAAAGAGATGGTGATTTGTTTTTCTTATTTTTTTTAATGTGGTTGAAGTTTTGTAGCTTTTTTTTTTTAAATGTTTTTGGTTACTGAAAAAAAATAGAACAGTCCACTGTCCAGCAGAGGCTGCTTCATCTCTATTGCTCCCAGGGCTCATTCTGCGTGGATCTGTGTTTCAGGATGCTGCAAGGACAACTCTGTGGGCAGGAAGGCCCCCTGACCCAGAGCTGTGGCATATGTCCTGTTTTGTGGATGGGGAAAGCCAGAGGGCACGTATGTCCCCATTGCTCCTCCTCCAAAGCCACCCCGCTGGTGTTGGGGTGGGGAGTGGTAACCCTCCAGGTTATCATACTGGGGCACCATAGTCATGCTGCTCTGGCGCTTGCCGTGTGTTTGGTATTGGTACAGCACACTGGGGTCCCTGTCCAGGTTCTGAGTGTGATGGAGTTTCAGGCTATGACTCCTCTCTGGTTTAGGGGGTGGGCCTACCGACTGAGTGAGGTGCCCCTCCTCCTTGTAGCAGTCTCTGGAGTGCTTCTCTTGGGCAGGAGGTTGCCTAGCCCGAGGCCTCTCCAGCTCTTTGGAGAGCCTTACCTCTTTGTGGTTCAGTCTTAAAGACTCCTGCCCTGATGTAACGTACTTCCCTCCAGAGTTATGGTGGCCTACTTGCTCAGAAGGGTCTGGAATCCCTTTGGGCCCATAATCTAACTGGCCAGCCCCCTGGGGGTAAGGGGGCCCATTCTTTGACTCACACAATTGCCTATGGCTTGCTTCCTGATGTGCCCTGTGCTCAGGGAAGCTACAACCCATGTCATGAAGCTTCCTGTTCCTGAGGCTACTTTGCTTCTGGGGGAGAGATGGTTTGTCTGACTGTCCATTGCCATATCCTCCGCGAGGGTGGGCTCTATCCAGCTCTGGCTCTGGATGCTTCCTATAGAAGCGGTCATCTCCCTCAGGACTGATGGCCTTGGCTGGGTGCCGCCCTTCCTTTCCCTCTGCCACTGCAAGAAGTCCAGTTTTCCCAGGATCTGATTTACTACGTAGGTGGATGACATAGAGCCCCCCCAAGTCCTCTTGCAGAGCCGGGGTCATATTATCATACTGTGACATAACAGGCCCTTTCACCTTCTGCCGAGCACGGCTCTCTCTCCGGATGGACTGCATGCGGTATTTTTCCATGTCCTCAAGATCCCATGAGGTGTAAGTGTGCTTTACATCAGTGGCTGGAGGCATGTTGGCTCCATTATGGTCATTACCAGAGAAATAGCCAGTCATATTGGCCCGGGGACGTGGAAGCAAACCAGCGTAGCTGTATACGCTCTTCCCTTGCAGCCTAGGATTGTAGAAAGCAACATCGCGACTGGGCGGGCGGTGGAGGGGCCTCAGCTGTACTGTGCTATAGGCATCCACATCGCACAAGGTCCCGTCGGGGCTGTAATAGGAACTGGAACTGGAATACGGGCTGTACCGGTAGTGGACCCGGCCATTCTCAAAGTAAGGCTGAAGCTGAGTGACATGGTAATCTGAGCGGGCCTGCGAGGACTGATAGGGCTTATACTGGTACAGGGGTCTTGGGCAGTAGGATGGTTCATCATCTGGAGGAACTTCCGTCCGTGAAATGGGAACAGAGCGAATCATGGAAGACGGAGGGGCGTGAAGAGACTGAACCCTCCGGATGGTAGGGTACGGTGGAATATCTTCAGGATAACAACTACTCCTAACAGAGGAGCTCAAAGAAGATACATACTCAACCTGGCTGCATGGCTGGGAGTGGTGTCCGGATACACTTCTTCCTGGGGCCACGTATGTGTTATAACGAGGACCCACGGAGGCTGGTGGCTCTGATCGGGAACCATACACTTGGTGTTGCTCCAATTTATTGTGATGTGGAGGTACACTCTGGGGACGGTACTGGCAGTTTGGGGTCATACTGAAATGGAAACAGTTTTCTGGACCAAAGGGTTCAGCGGTGACATCAGGTCTAGCGAAGGTAGAGTAAGTGGTTTTCTGAGAAGCATGCTTAGGTTGTGGAACAGGAAGTGGTAAAGGCAAGACTTCATCCACAGAGGCTGAGGACATGGTGAGGAAGGGGCGACAGCCCGAAGTGCTGGCCACCTCTGAGCTGCCAGCATGTATGGCAGTGGCAAGTTTACTCTCCATGGTCCTGGTTGGGGGAACTGGTGCCGTGAAGCCACAGGAGGGGTACACGGGGACAGACTCAGCACGCAGGGGCAGTGGTGGAGCCCTGGCACCCTCCCACATCTTTTCAGGAAAGCTTGGATGGAGGGCAGGAGCAGAGGCGGGACACTGAGCAGCTCCACTGCCATCACTGACAAGGACAGGCAAAGGGTCATCCATGGCTCTGGGCTCAGGTGGCCTCTCTGGAGCTGGAACTACTCCTTGAACCTATTGAAAGAAGGCAATATTATGAGTTTGTTTTTTATGCTGCCCTCTATGGAATCAAACATTATTAAATCTGTAACACACAAGTTGATGCTATTTGGATAGCAGTTTGAAATTTCCTAAGGCATGTGGTCGCACTGCACGGGACAGTAGGCCAACCTGTCCCCACTGCCAGGAATAGAAGGCCTACATTGCTATCTGGTGTAATAGATACCACCATCTTTGGTGAACTGTCCTAATTTATGATAGGTTTCAAATGCGAGATGAAACTGCCTAAGACATAATCTTTATATGCAGAGCAAAACAGAGGTTTAGTCAAATTACAGTCAAGCTTAAAAATGTGTACCTAGTCTATCCATCTGGCTTGGTCTCCACACTGACAGCCTTATGCTTAACACAACGAGTTAATTCAATCTAGAGAGATCTTTGAAGTGACTCACAGCTGTACAACGGTGAACAGTTTTAAGCCCCAAAATCTAGGGAAGGCGAATAAAGTGCCTGTCAAAGGTGGCATTCAACTCAACCAGTTACCATCTCTGCCCTCCCTTCTACCCCATCCTGGGCTATGGCAGCAGAGGCCAAACATGATCCTCACAGCAATACTGCAAATATGCTATCCTTGGAAGCAGCTGCCAGAAATAGTATCCTCCCCTAAAGGCTAGATTCTGAAGTCCTTTAAGTTAAAAAAAACTGGTCGCATTTTTTTTAAATGTAAGAAAATTAGGAAGAAACCTTAGCATTTTGCATATAACATTCTCTCAGCAAAACTGCTTGACTATAGAACAATCTGTTGGCTAATGTTGAGAAAATAACAAAAAGTCCTTTAAGTGCCTTACAAATTTCAAAATGGCAATCCATGACTATAATCTTTTACATGTCTAAAAAGTCTACAAGTCACAAATATCTTGAGAATGAAGCATTTTCATTGTGCATATGTGAATCATTAGCAGAGGATGGTTAAATGACTTGCCCAAAGTCACAATGAGTCACTGATGGAGCTGGAAAAAAAAACAACCCTGACATTTAAAGCCCAGTTTGACTCATTAGAGCACGATCTCTTTGTATTGTTATGAAGAAACTACCTAGATGCTTTCAGAAGAAAAGGTAGCAGGTATAGCTAAACTACAGTCATTGAGTAACTGCTCCTTTTCTCAGAGAAAAACCAGCATCTAAGTAAAGGCAGATTCCAACCTGAAATGGGAAATGTTCCATAGAAACCCACCACAGGACTTAAAAGCAAACGTCTTATCTGACTCAAAGACAACAGCATGCCCTGCTGAAAAGTAACATACCTTTGGAAAAGGTACATTTCATTCTCACCGATTTCCTCCCGTTCTTACCTTGTGGGAATTACTTAGTCCTACACTGGCTGCTGCTTGTACCTGCCCCATGGCAGGCAGCTGGTCTGCTGATCTCTGGGCAGGAGGTGGGGGGAGGGGACGATTAGTTCTGTGCGTGCGCTGAAGGGTGGAGGCGGCAAAATCAGCAGGGGTGGGTTGTTCAAGCACATCCCAGCTGGCTTCCCTGGTGCTAATTTCAGCTGTTACTGGAGCAGTTGTCATGTAAGTCATGGTGGCTGTGCTGGTATTCTCTTCAGGGGACCCAGAAGGAGGGTAGATTTTGTCCCTCAACAAACTAGAAGGTGTGGGGAATTTGTCTGCAAGTTCTGAAGGGTGACGGGGCTTGTCCACACTTGCCCCGAGATAAGAAGGAGGCTGATCATCACTGTGGAGATGAAGTTGAGACTGGTCCTGATCCACAAAGGAGACAGCTGGCGCACTGGTCTTCCCAGGCTGGTCGGCAGGGAAACTTATGTGATCGCCAGACTTTGAGTCAGTTAAAAAAACGGAAGTGATTCTGGCCCTTTCTGGGTCCCCAGATAAATAGGTTCGGTGTGGCTGATTTCCTGGTAAGTCTGCCTGGTGGAGCTCTTCCCCAGATTCAGCTGCATTGGAATGAATATGGCTCCCAGTAGCTGCTGTTTCTAGAATGGGCTGGTCACAGTTCCCAGACATACTGTTCTGGGGGTAGAACTGCTCTGCTGGCCTATCAGTTTGGAAATAGGCTTTATCTAGAGTACTACTAATGTAGGAACTAGGCAGTTTATCTTCAGTTGCAGCCACTGCTACATCTCCATAATCTGAGTGAGCAGCCTGGGCAGTCCCTGGTCTCTTCAATGACTGAGTGGAGGCTTGCTGTGCAGACTCAGCTAATGCTAGCGCCAAAAGGCGGGCAACATTTTTCGGAGGCGGAGGTGGTGGGATAAGAGAGACTGAACTGACAGGAACGGAATCCTGAGGGGGGTCATGGGTAACTGCTCCTGGTGGGAAATTGGGAAAAAAAAATGAGAGTGAAAAGGTAACTTGTGTTATCCTATACGGAAAGCCAAATACTCCCCATTTGATCATTAAAAAATAGGTGCCTTCCATTATTTCAAAATGGCAATCCATTATCTTCTCTATCCCACATGCAAATGCTGTAGAAAACTTATCTGGTTCAGAAGAAATACTAAAACAGAGTGTTTAAAGACTGCAATCTCCTCTTGAATTGCTATAGAGATGGGGGAAAAGCAGGTTGCCCATCTGGCTCAGAAATTGCTAGACAACAAGCTTTAAATGCTTGCAGATTGTTATTAAGAATAGTTTTTACATTTGATGGTGTAGGCTGGCTGGTCAAGTTATAAGGCTATCATATAAATAACTTTACTAGAAGAGAAAACAGAATCAAGAGCTACAAAGCTGTGCAAAAACTATCCATGAACTCTGACTGTCCAAAGAGATAAGGGGACTTTATGAAGGACTGAAGCAGGGCCACTGGCCCTGTGGGGTATTTTTGTTTGACTGGTTTTAATCTAGGGCTTTGTGCCATCAGCACCACCCAGAAAAAACATTCTCTGATTTAAGGCTAGCTGTGGAGCGAATTTCACTCTTATAAGGCACAGATGGCACACAGGATTGAAGATCCCTCTTAGCTTCAAGAAAGAATGGAGGAAAACAAATGGTACCTGTCTGAGTCTGTCCAGAAGGTACAGCCTTACTCTCACTGCTTGAGACGGACTGCTCCTCTTTCCCTGGTGATTCTACTTCTGCAGCAGCTACCTGGTCCAGGGGCTGGACTTCAGACTCACATCCTTGTTGGGCCTCTCTCTCATTTGTTTTCATCTTTACTACCTGGGTGGGGGATCTATTTATGACATCACTTTCCTCGACACTTTTGTTCCAGGCTGGAGAAGGTAGATTCTGAGCTGCTGTATTTGAAACTGTACCAATGACTTCTGATACCCGAATGGGAAGGGTCACTGAAATTGGCTCAGATATGTTCATGGAAGGTGATTTGCTTAATTTCCGTCCAATCTTTGGAGAGAAAGCATAGACGACCTTTTCAGTGAATGAGGATGGCTTAGATGATTTCTCTTCAGTTGGGCTCAAGTCCAGGGTAAAGAATGGACTCAGTTTCTCCTGAAGAGGAGAGACAGGTTCAGAACTTGCAGTGCTTCCTGGAGTCTGAGACTGGCTACCACCTGCATCTGTATCCTTTTTATTGGCACTTGGTTTATCCTTGGAGTATCCTAATGAATCTAAAAAGGAAGCACCACTCTCTAGACATTCTGACTCAGCCTTAGGAGGGCTGCACTGAAATGACATTGGATCAAAATCCAGGCTGGCTACTCCAATGTCTGGTGGACTCAAATCAACATCCTCAGCTGAATGAGGAGACATAAGAGCTGGAATATGGAGCAGCCCTACTTCCTCCTCACTCTCATTGCCATGGGGCAGATTATCATAGGAATTACAGCGGTTCCCCAGCATCTCTCCATTAAAAGAAGCACTCAGTGCATCACTGCTAGATCTGGGTCTTCTGGGTCGGAACAGCTTGGAATCACCTGGTAAAAATGGATAACAATATCAAAGTATGAATGTCACAGGATACACAATACCACAATGAGTCGCCTATTAATGCAGCAGTAACATACCATGAGGGTAAGAAAATGTGACTTCTTGTTTTCTTTCTGGTAATTAGTTTTTGGGGCGCACAGAATGAGCTCCTAAACCAAATGTTAAATAACAAACATAGCTGATATAATCAGAGGGAGAATGCAGTATTTGATGGTTTCAGTAAGAAAAAGGACTCAGAACTCTCAGATTCTCTTATTAATCCAACACTGACTCTTGCTGTGACTTTGGGCAAGTTTTTCCATTTCTTCTGGTCTTAGTTAATCACTGACCTCACATGACTTGTATGGTAAAATTAATCATTTTAAGTAGTATTTTTGGATATGTAACAGCAAAAGGGTTGGTCTGTTTTTTTGGTGGGGGGAAAATTCTGATTAACATCCAAATTTCAAAAAAATTAACATCACAATTAATAAGTATAATTCCATACCGTATTTATATAGATTCCTTTCAGATACCTAAAAATTATTTCATTTTTTTTCTTTAATAATAATAGGCTTTATGTTTCTCAGGCAGAGAATCCTCATGAGTGGTGGAGTATTACACAATTTTATGATATTGCTCAACCCCTAACTGGTAAAAGAAGACTTTATCTGAGCATTCTCTTACAATTATTAGAATTGCCATAGTGAAAATGTGCTATGAAGAGGCAGAAATAGTCTTAACATAAATACATTCACTAATGTTGACCACTTATGAAATTAATCCCTACTAAAATATTATATGCTTAATACTGTGAAAAGGGCCTTCTTTACATCCTGCTGTACAAGACAAAGACAAAGAAGATGTCCTATTTGCTATCATGTAGATTTGTCAAAAAAAATGTGTGCCTCCTTCCAAGTCAACATTGAAGTAGTCCAAAAATTAAGATGCAGTTGCAACTATAACCTGATTCTGCTAACTAGAAGCTAAAGCAGCTTATTTTCATAATTTTTTAGTTTGGTTTTTCAAGTTGCAATCAAACCTTTTTACACTATGTATCCTAAAATTTTGTTCCTTTTTAAAGCAGATTCACTTTAAGTTGCCTTCTCCTGGTACTAATTAATCCTCTGAAAATGAGGACTGCCTATAATCAACATGATCTATGAAATTTAATGTCAGGTTAAGCCACTTGCAAGACAGACTACTACTACTGGTTTGCATATCAAAACTGCTTCATTTTATACTTTGTAACATTGTCTTCTCAATGTGAAATCTAAAGAAATACTGATAACACCATTTTCCACTGGAACACTAATAAATACAATGGTTAGCTTAAAACATTTCCCCTATTTTTATGTAAATTGAATAGCAATTATGTCAAAAGTGAAGAAATTGAAGACTGGTATCATTTAAAACATCATGGATAAACTAAATACACACTAGTATTCTTAGGAAATGATAGTCTATAGCCTATTTATTAAGCATGAATTTATAAAATATATTCAATTGTGTTCTTTTAAGAAATATAGAGTAAGATGATTGATGCTTTTAGTCTTACCATCAACTGCATGGAGGGAAGTAAGAGACTCTTCACTTTTAGCAGAACGGAGGGTTCCTTCTGCCCTGCCACCTGAAGAAGCAAAACCAAAGGGACAGTTTTATTCATTATTACATATGCAGGGAAAGGGACAGTGTGTTTCTCCACACATATTTAAACTTCCAGGAGTGATGAGCTGTACATTCTCACAATACTTTTAAATTTAACATCGTATTATATAATGTGTTGTATTGTTCTCAAATGGTTTCCTAGATGAAAAATCTCTTTTTTAAAGGATTATGAACTTGAGAATAGGGATGAATTTAAAAACATATTTTTTTGTATTTCCTAAATACCAATATATCTTGAGATGATGCCACACTGGATTTAGTGTGAGCCCTAGATCCAACGAATAGTGTCCTTTTGAAGAAGAGAGGACGCAGAGAGAGAGAGAGGAGAGGCTGTGGGAAGACGGAGGCAGAGACTGGAGGGACGCCGCCACAAGCCAAGGAATGCCAGGGGCCGCCAGGAGTTGGAAGGGGCTAGGAAGGATTCTCCCCTGGATCTTTTAGAGGTTACACAGCCCTACTGACACCTGATTTCAGACTTTTAGCCTCCAGAACTGTGCGGAGATAAATTTCTGTTGTTAGAAACCACCCAATTTGTGGCGATTTGTTATGGCAGCCCTAGGAAACTCACATAGGCACCTTAATTGTATGTGCTGAATCTTGTTAAATATCTTCCTCCTCCTTACCTCTCGGTGGAGGCTCAATGCTGCTGACATCTTTTCAAGCCCCTCTCATTATTTCTGGTGCTAGCATTTGTCTCCTTTGTTCTTTGCCCACCTTTCTGACCATATCTGCTCACTCTCCTTTCATGACAATTCTGCCTTTTCCAATCATTTGAACACTCTTTTCTTCAGGACTCAGCCCTCAACCGGCTTTTCTCACTCGACAGGCTCTCCCTGGGCCATAAAATCTATCTGTAGGGTTTTCACTCTTGGTGTTTGCTGGTGACTTTCAAATCTGTATTTCTAGTTCCAGTAAACCCTTTATTGAACTCCAAATTTCTACTAGTCACTTTTGGACATATCCAACTCATTGTGCTCAAAATAAAAAGATTATTTTTCTTCCCAAACCTGCTACTACTTACAGGGACAATGGTACCACCTTCTCCCTTATCATTTAATCAAAACCAGAAAATTACCTTTGTTCCTTTTTCCCCTCATCCCTCACAACCATCTGGTCACCTAGCCCTGGCCCGTACAACTGTTTCCTAATTCACTGTCCAGACTCCAGTCTTATCCTCTCCCCATACATTCCCTTTGTTGCTACCAAACCATCTTTTCTAAACTCAAATCTGATGTTATATCCTGAAGCATTCAATACCCCCCAAGGAATGCAAGATAAAACCAAAACCCTTTGGCAAGCATACAATACCCCTAATGAGCTGAACCTCTTTTTGTACCATACTTCTCAACCAAGCTCTTCATAGTTTGGTTTCACACTGGAGCACACACTTTGTTCCCATTTCTTGAAATGCCTTTCTGCATCCCTTGTTAATCAGATGACCCTACTTGTACTTCAAAACCCAAGTCAAAGGTTTTATTTTCTGACCAGAACCTCTCCCCACATGAATTAACAACAACTACCATAAATATCTTACACAAAGCTCTATTTCAATAGTTATGATTCTGCATGAAATTAATTTTCTTGCATATGTAATCCCAAGTAAGTCTCTGAGGGCAGGGGCTGTCTTAATTTTCTTTCTATAGGCAGAGGCTGCTATCAAAATACCTAGCACATGCTTAGTATATGACTGCAAATTGAATGGATGATGAATTAAATGAACTGAACATTATGTTTCTAACATTACTTGAGAAGAAAGTATTACTATCCTTCCAAGATTCAGAAGTTGCTAATATCAGTAGAACATGGGTTTTACATTATTTTAAAAGAGTAGTATTTTCCATAACAGTAATAAATTTAATCGACCCAGTAAGATATGCTCATCAATGAGTCATCTAGTAAAAAAACAGCTGCTTTGGTTACAAAAGTTATAAACTTGAAAGGCATGTTGAAATGTAGTATTGTCATTTTTTAATCTGTAAAAATGTAGATTAATATATTTAAACACCACAGCAGTTATTTTTTATTACCAATAATATACAAACTAAGTTACAAATACAGTGTGAACTTTTAAGAACATCCACAGTAGAGATAATCTGTAGTTTCCATTAAAAATTAGGTACTTCAACATATTAATATGTAATGTATGTATTTAGGGATAAAGAATTGGTAAAAGAAGACAATTCACATGTAGCAATTAGGGACATACTATATCGAAGCATGTGGTAATAATATATTGTGCATGTACCCAAAATGAGAGCCATTATGATGGGATAAAAAGTGTGACTCTACCATGCGATGGCTCTTCCAGCACCACTAATGGAAAGGTGCGACGCTACTGACCTTTCAGAGCCATGGCTTTCATCTCTGAAGGCTCACTCTCGTTACGCTGCAACTTCCGTTTAGAAACAGAAGATGATTTCCCCAAATTGAAGAAGGAACGCCAGCTGCCCACAGGAGATTTTTTCATTTTATTTTGAGGCCTCCTCCTATGAGACAGATAATAATCTGTATTAAGCTACCCAAAAGGGTATTTTTACTTATAGAAAAGAACAAAAGGTAGAAAGAACCAAAGAGCCTGGAAAGGCACAGCTGAAATGATAAACCTTTCACACAGCACACACTATGCAGTGCAGCTACACTGTCCAGCTAACACACGGAGTAGAAATTAAATGGGTGGGTTTTAATATTAGTACTTAGTTTCGCAAAGATAACTTTTATGCAGAATTTCATATTTAGATCTGACCTCACAATCTGTGAAATAAATGAGAATAAGACATATTTGGGACTAGAAGAAATATTAAAACTCCAGAAATAAAATAGAGATAAAGAAAATTATTTTAGGTGTTGGTAAAGAGAATCAAGCCAAAAAAAGAAGAAAAGCACTAAGAATATTAACATACATTGAATGCCAGGCACTATGCTAAGTGCCTTTTAAGACCAGTAAATGATAGAGACAGGGTTGGAATTCAGGCCTATCTATATCCTAGTATCTACTCCTTCGATTACTACTCTATAAAGAGATTTTTGAGAAAATTATCAAGATAAACTATAAATACAAGCAGCTGAAGACAAACTCAGAGTGACAAAATAAAGAGTATGCCCCGACCTTCTGCTGTCAGGACGTTTTTAGTCATGAGGAGTGAAAGGAACTTAGTTTGGAGAGCTATACCAACACATGGAAAGAATAAATTCTCAAGTGTTAGTAGTACTGCCCAAGCCAGGGAACTGAAACCCTGACATTCAAGTGTAACAAATATCAGAATTAACACATACATTAGTCTTCCTATGATAACTTAGTAAAGAAGATACAGAAACCATGTTTTTAATCATTTCCTTCAAGAAACAGAGAATTTCAGAGCTGGAAGGGACACAAAAAGAATAAATTTATTGCAAGTAGTTTTCACACATCAGAATCACCTGGAAGGTTTGATAAAAGCCTGATTGCTGGACTCCATCCCCAGAGTTTCTGATTTACTGGGTCTGGGGTGGGGCCTGAGAATCAGCATTTCTAGCAACTTCCAGGTGATGCTGGTTGGGAGAGCACACTCACTGGTCCTAAACTTAAAGTGGAACTAGTGTCAAACAAGTCAGTATCCATTCATTACTTCCCGAATAAACCTTTCCAACACAGTTTATTTCTAAGCAAATTCCTAAACAACATGTCACAGAGAGAAAAATCACACTCTACAAAGTGGAAGAATATGTTTTTTCCCAAACAATTTCCCCTATCCAATTGTCTTTCATCTTCTTTAAAATGACATTGAAATGCTTTTTGAGAATCATTTATATACTTCCCTACAAGTATCAGCCACAGTCAAATGAACAGGTTTTTCTGGCCTGGACCAGAATCAATAAAGTAACATAAAAATACAAAAGGAAAAGGAAATGGAAAGAAAAAAACAGCCAGGAAAATCATAGTTTTTAAAGAAGATTTAATGAATTTTACCTTTCAAGTGGGAACTCGATTATGGTATGAAATTTTCCCTGAAGTGCAGCAGGTCCTTCTCCTACTTCAATATATTTGTTTTCAGTCATGAGTGGAGAAGTGGCCTGAGCTTGTGTCCGTGCCTGGGCTTCCTCCAGCGTCAGCAGCTTTGTAGATGGAGAGGAAACCAGCAGGGACTTGGGTCGTGATAGAGAAGCTTTGGAAAGAAAGAAAAGCAATGAAGAGAGGCAAACTTGTTGACATGGGGGAAAAATATAAAAATATGCGAGTGCATGTATATCAGTCTGTTTACTGGTCTACCCATACCCATCTATTTACCTATCTGTGCTGTTTAAATTTTCTTCACTAGATTTTTTAAATGGCAAAAATTACAGGGCTTTATAATAAGTGAGGAATAGAAGGTACATATTAGTTTAACAGTGGTGTACATGTGCTAAAATATAAAAATTTAAATTTTTGTATGTGTGTGTGCATATATATATATTTATATATTTTTTTAAATTCCTTAAATAATTTATTTTCTTTCTGAAGAAACACTAGGCAAAGCCTGGTATCACTCAGATATTTGTAGCTCTAGAAGGAATTTTTCTTTTGCTATTCCGTATTACAGCTTTACATACATCAATAATAGGTTAACACCATACATTTTTTAGTATGTCATGAAGTTAGATCACAATAGTCTAATAAGTAGTCCTAAGCACACATAAAACAACTGTTAAACTGTGCATTTTGGGAAACAAGACATAAATAAGCTGCTTTTTGCAAAGACAGATTTACTAAATTCAGAGAAGAAATGCAATTTTCCATTCCTATAAGTTGAGATACATGTTCCTGGTGGCAAACAAAACCCACCAGAGCCATACCTGCCGCCTCCTGAATAACCGCACTGATTCTCCCACTGAAGAGGACATCTACATGATTGAGGATGAATTCAACCACCACAGACTGAATTCTCACTTCCATGAAGGCTGCAGTCCCACTGAAGCAGGCAGATTCTATTTGTTTTGATCTGCGGGTAAACGTTAGCATCAGAGAGTCCTGACAACTGCACTCTTAGAGGGCACTGTATTTTTTTAATGGGTAAATCATAGACAAACCAGAGGAAGAAACCACCCCTTTATAGTGTCTTGGCTCAACCCCAAGTGCCTCTTTTAGGGAGATACTCATAAAAATAACAGATTAGTTTCACTTTCAAAAACTGTCCTTAAGGAACATTGATGAATTAGATGTTTATTTAAGATGACTGGTTCTACTTAAGGTCCTGAGTCAAATGCGACTTACCTCAGTAGGTTTGGAGCCCAAACGATTGCTAGGTTTTTTGCATGCATGTTTGTGATGGAGCAGTAGTCGGCTAGAAGAGACAAGTGTCTCATTAGGAACTCCAGTGTTCTGAAAATGCAAGGCAACATATTAACAAAAAGAAACCTAATGCAGCAGTATAAAGCAAAAAAAAGGTCCACTCATTATTTTTTAAGTCAGTGGAAAAATTGGAAAGAACATAGAAACCCCAGCAAATTTTTGCTGCCTATTAGGTTTGAATATCATTATTACTACAGAACTGTCAGAAGAATATTATGAATTCTACATTCTATATATAATAATTCAATCTATCATATACTAAGAAAAAAAAGTCTAACACAGATACAGTAAGACAAAGTTTCTGACAGAATCAGCTCTGATCAAACAGCTTTAGTTTAAAAAAAATCTTTAGTATTTCCTCCTGGCTGTCAGACATCTAGTTTCAAAGACACCAGCCAAATAAGTACTCCACAAAAGCTAGTTTCTAGACAAATAATAATTGTGAAGTCATGCTATTCTACTTGCAGCAGACACGTTAGTAGGAAACGATTAAAATTTCCATCTATAAAAGAAAACAATGTTTCACAAGCCTAAAAAAAGTTAAAGAAAAAGTCCAGTAGGTACCAAGAGGAGAATATTTGAGCAAATTATGTGCATTTTGGAATAGGTACCAAGAGGAGAATATTTGAGCAAATTATGTGCATTTTGGAATAGGAAGCATACTCCAAGTCCTGGCTTACTGTATATATTCTAAGTTTGCCTTATTTAAATAATTATATAAATTTATATATTTCTTTTATATTGATGTATATCTATCTATCTATCTATCTATCTATCTATCTATCTATCTATCTATCTATCTATCTATCCATCCATCCATCCATCCATCCATCTATCTATCCATCTATCTAGAGAGATATTAAACAGGGGAAAGTATTTTTGGAAATAAATCATGATCAGCTTAAATATAAATTAAATCAGATAAAACACACAGAAGTATTACCTATCAGCTACCACACCTCTCTAAGTGTCCCTACCTAAGTGTATAGGGATTCAAACTATTAAAGATAATGAATAGGAAACAGATATTTAAGACTATTATTTGAAACAATAATGAAACTTAAACTGTGGTAAACATATGAGCCTCAGAGACTCAGATGAGTGAAATATGCATTTGAGAAGAAAAGTAAGACAACAGCTGCTGGCTGTTACTGAGGCTTTGACAGAGACCTCGCCTAGTCCTCACAGCAGCCCTAGCAAACATGGGTTACCATCCCCACTTTATGGAGGAAGAAGCCAAGGTTTTCCTAGGTTACACAGGCTGGGCTGGGATTCAAATCAAGGTCAGTATGGCTGCAATCTCTGCTCATTCAACAGCATCTAACTGCAGCTGCTCTACAGCAAAAATGGTGATTCTCTGTCCCTCCTAAACATAGTTAAAATAAGGAGAGACAGAGTGAGTCTGGCCTAGAGATAATGTGGAGGTGGGAAGTTTGAGAAATGTGTACAAAACAAAGTAAAAAATTTATTATTGGGAGTGGGGAGGTAGATGAAGGGAAAGATTAAAATACTTCAGAATTTATTTTATGAGATGCAAATTAAGATAACCAAGATACCATTTTATCCACATATCTAATTGTAAAGATGTTTTTAAAAGCTAATGGAGAATTTTAGAGTGCCATGAAATGAGCATTTTCATATTCAGCAAAGTGCAAATTGCAAAAACATTCAATGGAATACAATTTGGAAATAGCTGTATGTTGGGAAGAAAATTTTAGTATCTTTTGATTTCCAAGAATTACACTGTCAGGTCTTTATTCAAACAAATAATTAAGGTTCCCCAAAAGATTCATGTAAATGGATGTTCCTGACAGTAATATTCAAAATTAGGAGTGGTGAACCACCAAAAATAGATTAAATACACAAACTAGGGGGAAGGTTAAATAGCATATGGTCCATTCACCTGAGATAACATTATGAAAAACCATGTTTTCAAGAACATCTAAGGAATTAGGAAATGTGATACAAAGATAAATAAATCCAAATGTATGGAAAAATGAAAGTTTAAATAGTAAGAACTCCAAGGAAATTAAAAAACTTAGAGACCCAAAGGAAAACCCTTGTACACAGCCACTGATTTCTACTTGTGGCTGTTCCTTTACACGCGGCTTACCTGTAGTGTGGAGGGGGCAGCTGCTGGATGACATCATGAATTTTTATCAGCCTTTCTTCATCTGTTGCTGCTGAAACAGCATCCTGTAACAAGCATCATGAGAAATAGCGTAGTAGGCTTTGTTGGTAAAAAAGAAAGTCCTTCCTTTACAATTCGGTTTTCACTCATATTAATTCAATCTATACTTTGATGCTAAACAATGAGGAAATCCAATACAATGTCAAGGAAGTAAACACTGTTTCCATGCTATGTGGACAATGAAATCTCTTAGAAGATAATTTTTAAAACTTTATGGTAATCAGCATTAAGAGTCATAAGATTAGTGGCTCAAAGGCAGAAACTAAAAGAATGAAAATGCGAACACAGTGAAGACTCTGGACTAGCTAGCAATAACTTTTTTGTTTTCTTTAAAGGAGGCGTTTTAGTCACAGAACTCTTTCTTGCATGAGCAAACCAATCTGTACACATTTTTAACAAAACCACAGCAACACTCTAAACAGAACTTGATTGAAAAGTGACTCATACTCACAGAAAATTTCTCATACAGCTGGTAGGTGAGCAGAGGGTTTGGGAGCTCTCGGAAATACAGCTTGCAGAGGGAACCCACAGAATGGATGTCTTGAACATATGGTTCTTTTGTCAGGTCAGGGACATGTTCAGAGTCAAATTCATGGCTAACAAAGACAGAAGAGAGACAAAACAAATTATTTTATTGCAGGAAAAGCAAATATCTAACTTTAAAAGTGAAAGAAAAAACCCAAAATTTTAGCCCCTACCTCGGTGAGTTCCTATTTTCTTCAAATGATTATATTTCCTCTAAGTTATATTTGGACTTCAGTAGTAGATGCCTGATCATAAAACAAGTGTTTTTCTACACGGAAATTAAGGGCATACCTCTTACATCATAATGGACAACAATCTCTATAATGCATATAAAAGAGCGGCCCCTAATATACAGATCTGAAAACAGGACTCCTAATTCCTAATGGCTTGAATATCCAATATTTTTGCAATTCTGGAAACTAGGGTTGAGTGGCAGATGTCTATGAACAAATACGTGCAGAAATTCCTCAAATACAAGTACAGTTCAGGAATATCTTATTGAAGGGGGATGAGGAAGCTAGAATAATGTAAAGCAATTCCCAGCCAACATTAAATTTTAATAGATAGCAAAATCTGTAGCATTAAAGTGAGTGAAATAAAACTTGTGCTCAGAATACTAAGGCAGATTAAGCTTACTCTCCAGGAGACTAATTAATATTAATCTACAGGCATAGAACCACTTCTCAACCTAGAGTATAAGTCTATGTGGGCAACCTGATAGGAGATATGCTGCATCTGAACTAAAAGCTGAAACTGTCATTAGTACAAGAATCAATTTAAATATTTTCCAAACATGTATACCTGAACATAGAGATGAGGTTTATAGTCGACTAGAATATTAAAATCTGTATAGGATAATGGCAATAAAGGTAATCCTTTTACTACCATAAAGGTAATAAAGGATAATAACATATTAAGAATAGACCAGAATCTAAGAGATCAAGCAAAAATAAAATTGCTGTTGCTGGTGTAAAGGATACCACTATTTTTGCCTCTGAGAAGATAATGGGAAAGGATGTGGAATATGCATATTTGAGCATATACCACAGAACTAGGGTCAAGAGAGTTAACTAGTTTTACTTGCAACAATTTTAATTAAGAAGATTAATTCTTTTATAATGCAAATTTCCATCTCATGGTTGTCACTGGTTCAAATTCAATTTGCTAAAATCAAATAGTGAAAAGAGACAAAATACAAATATTGAAGGGGTAAAGAGGACAGGGGTTACTGACACTACAAATGAAGAAATGGCATTTAGGAAAATACATGCACAGAACAATATGGATATTACTTCCTATTTAAAACATCTTACTGAAAACTATGATTATCAATGTGACTTAATTCTGAGACAGTTTCATTTTAGTGAATTACAACAGGAATAAAAAAGAAAATGCCATATAAGGTTGTTACCGCAGTCTCTGGATATTGGAGGCAACGCCAGAGAGACGATATATCCCATCCACAATGCCATATCTCTCAATGAATGCTGTACAACTCTGAAGAACCTGGGGTACTAAAGAGAATTTTTAAGGACATGTGTTAAATTGGGAATATTCAGTGGAAACAAAGTCACCAAGAAATGAGAATGTTTTAGTTTTCATAAGAAAAAAATTTTAAATTAAAATTATAAGAGACAGAGCTTAATCTACTACAAAAAATGAGGATATATCACTTCAACAAACAAAAAGCGAACAGTCCAATTAAAAAATGGGCAGAGGAGCTGAATAGACAGTTCTCCAAAGAAGAAATTCAGATGGCCAACAGACATATGAAAAGATGCTCCACATCACTAGTCATCAGAGAAATGCAAATTAAAACCACAATGAGATATCACACCAGTAAGGATGGCCACCATCCAAAAGACAAACAACAACAAATATTGGTGAGGTTGTGGAGAAACAGGAACTCTCCTACACTGCTGATGGGAATGTAAATTAGTGCAACCATTGTGGAAAGCAGTATGGAGGTTCCTCAAAAAGCTCAAAATAGAAATACCATTTGAGCCAGGAATTCCACTCCTAGGAATTTACCCTAAGAATGCAGCAGCCCAGTTTGAAAAAGACAGATGCACCCCTATGTTTATCGCAGCACTATTTACAATAGCCAAAAAATGGAAGCAACCTAAGTGTCCATCAGTAGATGAATAGATAAAGAAGATGTGGTACATACACACAATGGAATATTATTCAGCCATAAGAAGAAAACAAATCCTACCATTTGCAACAACATGGATGGAGCTAGAGGGTATTATGCTCAGTGAAATAAGCCAGGCAGAGAAAGACAAATGCCAAATGATTTCACTCATCTGTGGAGCATAAGAACAAAGCAAAAACTGAAGGAACAAAACAGCAGCAGAATCACAAAACCCAAGAAAGGACTATCAGTTACCAAAGGAAAAGGGACTGGGGAGGATGGGTGGGAAGGGAGGGAGAAGGGGGGGGAAGAAGAAAGGGGGTCTTACGATTAGCATGTATAATGTGGGGGGGCACAGGGAGGGCTGTGCAACACAAAGAAGACAAGTAGTGATTTTACAGCATCTTACTACGCTGATGGACAGTGACTAATGGGGTATGTGGGAGGGACTTGGTGAAAGGGGGAATCTAGTAAACAATGTTCCTCATGTAACTGTAGATTAATGATACCAAAATTAAAAAAAAATGAGGGTACATTTACTTAATTTCACATCTAAACTGGATAACCTGGTCCCTGAATAATCAAGACTGACTGTCTCATTATATTTAGGTAAATGAAAGAAGATACACATTATTAGGATAGTCTCTCTATGATCTTCTTCAATAGGCTCATTTAAATCATGTTGCAACAGTAAGGCGAACTGTTTAGTCCTAATACCATACCAGATTAAAAAATAAAAAAACTGTTCAGCTAAATTTTGTACATAATAAATGGACATACAATGTTGAATGCTTATCTCAACATAATTACCTGTAAGCACTGCAAATTTTCACATTTAAAAAGACTCTTTTATGTTTTCATAGTTAATGCTAATTCTAATTTATCAATAAACAGAACACCAACGTAATGTACAGGCCGAACCAATGTCAAGTAGATGCAATCTTTTCATTTCCTGCCTGTCTTCACATTAAAATTACTGACATTTTGACTTAATATTATCATAAACGGCACTCTAACAATAAGCAGAAAGAAAAGGGTATTCTCCCTGGTTACCTTACTAAATATCTGACATAAATGGACAGCTATTCTGGGCCTACAGTCTAGAGAAGAATCTTGAATGTATATGATAAAATTTTTGTATAACAAAAATTTACAGTAGCTGAAATTTGAACTTCTTTGTAATGCAGGCTGCTGAGTTTACAGGCTTTGGTAACTATTTTCATCTGATAGTAAAAATCCCTGGAAACAGGTGTTTGGAAGAACATCATTTGATCTGTAAATAACTATGCTAAGGATGAAACATTCTGGGTGGCAAATGAAACAGTTAAGATATTTTGATATGCTGACTTTACTTAATGTATTTCACTTACAGTATATATATATCATTCCTTTATTATTACAACAGATTTTCCTTGGGTTTCCTCCTTGTTGTTGTCTTCACTGCATTCTTTTATATTTCATCAGAATTTGTTAAAATTTAAACTCCTTACTTTCAATAATTTTTTTAAAAAGCAGCTATATTTCTGAGCATGTTATATGTTCCAGGCTATATGCTTTACAATGGGGACCTCTCACTTAATTCTCACAGAAATTCTATGAGAAAAGTTCTGTCACTATCCCCATCTTACAGAGAGGAAAGTGAGTCTTAACAGGATAAAATTGTACCCATTTGCAAGTAGGAAACAAATGACAGAAATGAGATTTTAACTCAGGAAGTCTAAGTAGAGAGGCAATTTTTAACTACGGCAATATACTGCCTGGACTATAAGGTGACTCACAATTTGTACTTATTTCATTGTTGCTGTATTTCCGTATTTCATAACTCTGGGCCAAGTAAACCCTTATCTTTCAACATACAAAACAGCCATTCTGTAAGGCCCTCAATTTTCTCTATGCAGACTCTCTCTACCACCATCTTCTTAAAGAAAACTCTTGGCTTGGATATTGGAGGCACTCTCTGCCTGTGCTCTATAAATGTTAACAACAAAGTCTGGATGATGGTATATCTGTTTACATGTTTATTGAGTATTTTAGGCCCACTGTTGAGATCTACTGTTCAGAGAAAAAGGTTCCTTTCAAAATATTACTGCTCATTGACAATGCACTGGTCACCCAAGAGCTCTAATGGAGATGGACAATGAGATTCATGTTGTTTTAATGCCTGCTAACAAATCAACAATTCTGCAGCCCCTGGATCAGGGAGTCATTTTAACTTCAAGGCTTATTATTGAAGAACTGCCTTTTATAAGGCTATAGCTGCTGCCATAGGTTGTGATTCCTCTGATGGATCTGGGCAAAGTAAATTGAAAGCCTTATGAAAAGGATTCTCCATTCTAGATGCTATTGACAACAGTTAGAATTCATGGGAAAAAAGTCAAATATCAACATTTACAGGCATCTGGAAGAAGTTGATTCCAACCCTCATGGATAACTTGGAGAGCACAAGACTGCAGTGAGGACGTAACTGCAGATGTGGTGGAAACAGCAAGAGAAATAGAAATATAAGTGGAGCCTAAAGATGTTACTGAATTTGCTGCAATTTCATGATAAAACTTTAACAGATGAGGAGCTGCTTCTTAGGGATGAGCAAAGAAAGTGGTTTCTTGAGATGGGATTTATTCCTGATGAAGATGCTGTGATGACTGTTGAAATGACAACAAAGGATTTAGAATATTACATAAACTTCATTGATAAAGCAGTGATAAGGTTTGACAGGATTAGCTTCAATTTTGAAAGAAGTTCTACTGTGGGTAAAATGCTCTCAAACAGCACTGCATGCTCCAGAGAAACTGTTCGTGAAAGGAAAGGTCAAATTTGACATGACAAACATCACTGTTGTTTTATTTTAAGGAATCGCCATAGCCACTACTTTCAGCGATCACCAACCACCCTGATCAGCCCAGCTGCCATCAAAGCAGGAAGAAGACCCTCCACTGGCAAAAAGAAGATGACATGTTGAAAGATCAGAGGATGGCTGGAATTCTTTAACAATATTGTTTAATTAAGGTATGAACGTTGGAGATTTCTTTTGACATATGCTATTGCACAGTTAACAGACCATAGTATATTATAAATATAACTTTAATATGCACTGGGAAACAAAAAAATTCATTTGACTTACTGACTCACTTTACTGAGATACTTGGTCTATCATGGTTGGTCTGGAACCAAACCTGCACTATCTCTGTGATACGCCCTCATGTTAAGTGAATTATTATTTGTTTGTTTCTACAAGTACTACCCCTTTACAGTCAAGCTTTTAAAGGGCAAAACAATGCTTCATTCATTTTTGTATATTTAAAATCCAGGAGCACAGTCCTGACACATGTAAAATTAGCAAATTAATTGATTCACAGGTGCCCTGAGAGCCGGACAATATAATATGACCAAGTCAGTAGAGGAGTCTTCATTTTCATATGCAGCTGTATTCACTATGCTTTCTACCTCTAAAAATGTTCAAGAATTATATTAATGAGAGAGGGAATAAGTTTATGTGGGGGAGATGAAATGTAGGCAGTGTTGCAGGATACTTTCTGTAGATTGACTATGGTATTATAAGCAATCGCTATGCCAAAAATTATATGCAAAATATAAAGGATATTTATGAGCTTGAGTCCTAGCTCTAATATTGAGATTAATCAATGATAACCTCAGTGTGCTAGGTTTCTATCCTACAAACTAGAGGCAGAATAAAAACTCTGAGGGCCAGAAAAATTCTACCACCTACTTCAAAGGAAATGTATTTAAAGATTATTGGAATAATTAACAATTATTTAAAGAAAGGAATACAAGCTTGAATTTTTTTTTAAAAGACACTTACTATGTATGCTGCAAATCAGCATGCCAACTCACCCAGGGACACAAAAGGTCTGCCTTGGAAGTAATCCCCTCAGAGCACAAGGTTTCATTTCTGTATTATCAGGCTCTCCTAGCATTCATTACAGAATTTTCATAAAATAAGCTACTACTCATTAAAAAGTACAGATAACTTTCTTGGGACTCTTAAAACCATGCAATACTAGATTCACACCTGATTATGTTTTCCCAAACAAGCAGGTAAACTTTGAAAATATGGTGAATTAGACATCTTTACCAGATAATATGGCTAAGCTTCTACAGTTAATTTGATGGAAAACATCTGAATTGTTTCTTACAGTTATGTTCCCTAAGTATAAGGACAATGTCCACAAAACAATCACACAATGGGCTTCACAAATAAAATTATGTAACTGAACATTACCATTACTTAGAATTTTAAGAGAGACAAATGAGACACAGAATAGGTAACATGAAAGTGAAAAGCATAAACTTTCATTTTGAAGAAAAAGGTAGAAACTGCTGAACAGTGTCAGAAAAGAAGAAACAAGATCTGGTTCATTTTTGACTATTATATAAGAAGGCAGTATGAGAACCCAATATCTTATTACAAGAAATCCTAATTTAGAAAAGGCATCTTACTAGCCATCTTTCTCTCTCAAACCATCTAACAAACCAGTCAAGGGCACATTAAATAATGACCCAGTCAAAACATAACATTAGAAACCTCCAAAACGGTTCTTCCAAATGGTTACAGGACTTTAACGTTATTTCCCCACTCTAATCCACTTTTTAACACACTTTTGATCCACTTTTACTTAATAATTTTAGTATTTTATATCATCATATAACAACAGATTAAGAGGTAATAAATGTTTAAATTCAAATAGATGACCCTATGATCAGAATAATGGCTAAAAGTAGATAAATATGACCAGAACTGGTCCTTGAGTTTTCTTGACATCTTAGTTTCACTTCTGCTCTTCTGTCTTCATCTATTCATTCATTCATTCACTCACTCATTAATCAATAATTTATTATATCCCTTCTTTATGGCAGGCATCATGCAAGCATTCTGTAATGCAGAAGAAAAAGTCAACTTTCATTCTCAGGGAGGTGGCTTCCTGGCTAGAAGTACATTGGTTCAGTGTTACTTATTCAAATATCCGTCATGATCTTTGGTTAGGAAAATATAGTTACCTCAAGGGTTAATTTCAAAGGTTATTTGGGCCTTCTTTTTTCCTGCTCTGATTATAAAAATCCCTATATATTTACAATAGCTTTTTTTTTTTTTAAGCCACTTCTTGCTGAAAGGGCCAAATAACCTCAAGCACAGAAATACATTCAGGCAATAGTTTCCTCACCATGAGTTTTTTTTTTTAAATTGAAGTATAGTTGATATACAATATTATATTGGTTTGAAGTATACAACATAGTGATCTAACAGTTATATACATTATTAAATCCTCACCCTAGCTAATGTAGTTACTGTCAACACAGAAAGACGTTCCAGAACCATTGACTATATTCTCTATGCTGTGCAACAAAAACACGTTTTTGAGTGGATTGGAAGTTGGCCAGTACTTGTGTGCTCAAACCAAAAGTTCCTGGGGCTTGGCTATTCCACAATTTCTCTGAAGCCCCAGAAAACAACTTTAAATTAAATGGGGATTTTGGCACCAAAAAGTATATGGCAGTCCCATTGCCATCTGGCTTCCTTGCCTTCTGCTTCCAGTTAAGCAGAGTCTTGGTCGAGTTTGCTTCCCCCACTGCCCGGGCCTTGCCTCCTGCACATGAGCAAGCTGTTCTAGGACCACTGCCTCACCACGAGTTTTTAAATGTTATATATTTTGTACCTAATAGACTTTTACCTAGTTTTCTACAAAGTTCTTCCTTTTTTAATAAAGCAATCTCATTTTATGGAAATTCAGTTTCAAATATGTGCAGCAATGAAAACAAGTCCTATGAAAAAATGACACCAGGGATCGCAAATAGAATAATAATAATAATAATAATAATAATAATAATAATAATAATAATAATAATAATAAAAAATCAGGCTCCTACATGAGTTCTTACAATACTTTGTATGGATGAAAACAGGTCAGGTTTATCACCTGCTCCAAAAGGGAGGTGCTCAAGTTTAGAAAGTGTAATAAGACAATCTCTCTAAGAAGTTGATTATTCACTAGGAATATAATTCAGAGAATGAGTCACTTAGTAAAACATTATTTTTTGTGCTTCCTTCTTTAAAAAAATGTGGTGTAAAATCTATTTTTAAAAGAGTAAGGACACTGTTTTAAAGCACAAAGTAAAATTGAACAAACATGAATAAGAATGATTATATACATTATACAATTCCATCTATCTAGTTGTCCATGTTCATGTTCCATCTCACCTCACAGTTATGTATGTATTATATATCCTGCTTCCTCATGATTATTCTAATTGTTTTCACTTAGACTATAAATTATTATATGTAATACATTCAATTCTATTTATTTTAATTTAGACTTTGAAATAGTCTCTCCATACACACACACACACACACATGTACATGCAGTGTCACTGCACAGACTACACACATTCATTTCTTAAAATCAGAGACAAACTAATAAATTATTTTATTATTAAAGGCCATTCTTTCCTAATTAAAATTTTAATTAACAAACTTAAAATTTTAATTAGTAAAAGTTTTCCTTTTTCTTGTTTATTTACTCTTCACTTGAATATTCAAATGAATATCTTCCATATGATATTTATTCATTTTTCACCATCCCTGATCACCTAGGAAATTACTTTAGTATGCCAACTAGAATGTATCTGATCTCATTCTTCAAGGTTTCTGCTTTTTACATTTTACCAATTACAATTACACTCTAATGTCACAAGTTAATTTTTTTGTTTTTCTAATCAGTTTATATATAGAGGACGGGTCTTCAACAGAAATTTTTCTCTTCCAAGACTATTAAATTCATTTCTAATGCTGTGCTGGTGTTTTTTCTTCTTTTTAATTGAAAAAAAAGGATAACTAAAAAAAAAAATCACAAAATTATTCTCTACATCTAATACTCTACCATAATTATATTCATTTTACATACCAGATAAGTGTTCATACTTTTGAAGAGGTATATCTACCATCTAAATAAAACATTTTGCAAATTTCTACACTGCATTCAAATTCACGATTTTAATATCTTCATAATTTATTGAACAATTTCCTTAAAAGTTGAGTATTCAATTTTTTTGCTCTCAGACATAATGCTATAATTAATACTTTTATTCTATTAAAAAAGTATAAATATGAAAAATAAATATTGAAACAAATCCCTAAGCAGAATTGCTATATCAAAAGAACAACACAAAGTCTCTTGCTAACAGAGTGCCAAATGTTATTCTAAAAAGTTGAGGTGAGTCACCTAAAACCAACAATTTTTACCTATTGGTCAAAATCACTGGTATTATTAATGGCATGATATCATAATTTAGAAAAACAGCTTTGCAATGTTAATAATATTTATCAATGTAAAATGGTAAATCTCAAAATTGTTTAAAGATACATTTCCATGATTACAGATGAACATAAACATTTTCTGTATTTTGTTTACCATCTATCTCCTTGTTAACACTGTATGTTTATATCTTTACTACATACATCTACTTAAGGTTTAAATTTTCTCACAAATTTGAATGATACTTTCATATAGATATTTCATACTATGGTAGCAGCATTTAGTCATAGCCAATAAAGAACATTTTCCCAGTCTGCAGTACTCTTTCTTTACATGTGTCCTTTTCATATGGAAGTTACATATTTGTAACCACCTCTTCCTTTATAACTTTTAAAAAAAAATCTGAGAATGCTATTACTGCTCTTTGATTTCAAAACAAAATCATTTCATATTATAATTTCTCTGAGCTTAAAATGTTAACCTTTCACGTATTTGGAATTTTCAGTGTCATAAAGTTGAAAATTAATTTTTTCAAAATTATTTCATTATCTCAATGTTTGTTTAGTAAGTAACCCCTCCTCAAACCTGGTTTTAAAACCATACTCTATCACAGTGGATTCTTATCTGTAGTAATGGTTACTTGTAAACCTTCCACACTACTTCATTCACTAATAGCATTCTTGTTTTGAATATTGTTTTAATATCTGGTAAAGTTAGATATCTCCTATGCAATCACTGATTTTTTTCTCCCACAGTGCTCTTTGATATTCTCATTGGCTTATTTTCCCATATGTATTTTGGCTACCTGAAAAAAATTCCTCAGGTATTTTGTTTGTTTATTTGTTTTTTGCTTTATTAGTAACTGCACTAAATTAATATAAGTTTTAGGATAGCACCTGATTAAAATAATGTTTTGTCTTCTCCCTCAAGAAACATGGTACAGTTTGCATTAAATTTATATTATAAGTATATTGGTATTCTTTAAGCAATAAGTAAGGCCTTAATTTGAACTTCATATTTATTAGTATTTACACTAGGTTTCACTAGTGGTCTTCTTAAAAAGTAAAATGGCTACTTCCCTTCAGGATTCAGAATTTCATAAATCACCTATTTCTGGTACTTACCAACATCATAGGTAGATACTTCTTTAATAGTCTAGCATCTCTAAAGGAGATGGCAGAGGAAAGTGTTATTTTAAAAATTCAAAGGAAAACTCCATTTTCCCTTGATTCCTATCCATTCATCCCTTCCATCCATTCATCCAACTACTGAATCCTTGAGTCAGAATTTAATTTATAGAGAAAGGAATTTAAATTTTTACCTATGAAACTGTGGAGACTGGTTTTGATATTTCATCAAAACTATGACTTTTTTTTCTAAAAGATAAAGTAAATGAATATTTTAGGATAAAATATGAGAGGGGAAATTAAGGAAGCTTTTTGGATAGATAAAACAATTCTTACTCTTCCTAAACAGGGCATAAGCATCTCTGATGCCAACATGCACTGTGAGACCTCTATTCTCAGCTGTCCCAAGGACTAAGAGAAGTTGAGGAAGTCCAATAGCTGCTGCTGAATTTAAATGGAATAAATACTGCCTAAACAACTTTATCATTGATCATAGAAAACCAATATGGAGAGATCAGAAACTGAAATTATGAGATTATAAATATTTTACCTTCAAAACCAGAATTCAGAAGGTGCTCCCCCAGGTCACAACCAAACACCCTCTCTTTCAAAATCCCCCGCTGCTTCAGCTTCTGTTTTGTTGGACGAGACTTCATGAATGTGCGTAAGAAAGTAATGAGCTTGCCGTGTTTTTTAGACACTAAAAAATAATAATAAAGAGAAAACACCTTAGTTGTGGAAAGAGACTATATTTTTATGTAGTGTGAAAAGAAATGGAGATCTTAACAGGCTGACAGCGAGATAATCTATTACAATTACACTTTATATTCTGTAGGAAATTTTCAAGAGGAGTTTAGGAAACAGTTGCTTTATAAATAAAATCATAATTTTGTACTTTCTTCTTACCAGCTTGCGTTCCTGATGAGATCATGAGCAAATTTAAGTATTGTAATCTATGACCTTTAAATCAAGCTTGGTTAATCAGCCATCTTGCCAAAGCATACTTAAGGATGCTACAGGATTATGGCTGGGACCTGAGTTTTATTCTAATATATTGCTTTGCAGACCTTCATAATAAGTAAGACTTGAAATAGTGTACATGTGGTTTACATTTCTAGTCAATTTCTAAAATATTTTGCTTGGTGGTTAGAAAGTTTCACAATATTTTTAATCTGGAAAGTAAAACTGAAAACAGAAACAAATCAGAGGACAATACCCCATGATATAAAATATACTTGTCAAACTAATGACTATATAACTACAAACCACATATAAAAAAATTATATCTTCTATTAACATTCTTCTATAGTATATTAAATACATCACCTTAAATCCCCTGTAGGTCAAGGCAAGAGATAAGAAAATTAATATATAGCAAAATGTTTTTACTAATTGATACATTAGAAAGACAATAGAAGAGCAAACAAATCCCTAGAAAAATGGCTTCCACTGAGAAGTGCAGCTTACAGGAAAAATTACTCTAAAAGTCAACATAGAACAGGAAGTACAAGCTCAGAGATTAGCTGCAGATGGAAGACTAATAAGCTTCATGACCTCAATCCTCCTATTCAGTTTGCAGATTTCTAGGAGTCTTACTGAATCCTACTACATATAGATTCCTGAATTGACCCAAATCTTAAATCCCCTGAATGGATGTAGCCTCCTGTAGGAATTCTGTACACTGAGTGTAACCTGTGGCCTAGAAGGACCAAGAGATGGCCTTGGATGTGTTACTCCAGACCACAGCAGACATTTGTCATTCATTTCTTTTCATTTTATGGGAAACACTATTTATAAACATAAGCATATTTTCTATGAACTGTGTGAGGGTGATCAACCATAACTGGGTTGCCCATAACTGAGAGGTCATGAGACTTTCAGTGCTAAAATCAGGAAGTTCTGGGCAAACTCAAACAAAGCAGTCATTTTAGGCTTATGCAGATTAAATGGGAAATAAATTTTTTTCTCTATCAATTATTTAAAATTTACTGAGATTCATCTGTATAATTTTGATGCTATCTCTGCTGACATACTCTGAAAATGGGTAAATTAAAACCTCTCTTGGAACTGCGTTACATTGCCATAAAATTAAGAGATGAGTTCTCTTATCTGCTAGTGAGACATTGTAGCACAATTGGGTAACTTCAGAAGTATGTTACACATACCCATAATATTAAAATTTTTGGACTATATTAAAAGTTAGTGGACTTGTGTGAGTTTTATTCTCCCCTAGTTGCTGGGAGGTTGTGTTGTGAATCTTTGTTAAGAGTGGCCATCAAGTCATTTCTGTTCATTTTCAAACATTTTCTACATGAACTTTAATTTTGAAAGACAAGATTTACCAAAAAATACAAATGAGATCGGTTTGCAATAATTTAACATATTTATAACATTGTATTTATATATGAATTTATAGATGTATGTAATACATATTTTTATATATTGACATTATATTTTTATATTTGGAAGAAATTCAACTTGTATAATATTCAATATTTCCACCTAGAAACAGAGCATGTCATCATTTTTCTAAACCTTTTATACCAGTAAAGTTTTCTAATTTTCTTTATGAAAGGACACATTCCACATATTTATTAGGAATTTTGCTAGGTATTTTATATTGTAGAATAATACTTTTGTTGTAGAATAATACTTTCCTTCAATTATGGTTTTAACTGGTAATTACTTGTATGCTAGAAAATGATTTCGTTTTGTATAGCTCAAATCTGGTCATTTACTAAACTGTCAACAATTTTAGGACTTTAGTTGGTCCTTTGGGATTTCATAGTTAAAAAATATGTCAAAGCAAAATGGTAATTCTATCCTTTTTCTAATCTTATTTCTATCCTTATTCTGACAGGAATAATTTTGAACTTCTGTTTCAGATTTTAATAATTGGCCACAACTTCTAAGATACATGATAATAGTAGGCATTCATATTTTGATGCTGAATTGATGAAAATAACTGTTGAATTTGACAACTGCATGTGATGTATACGAGAAAACATTCTTTTAATCTCAGATTTCCAAAAATGTTTCAAAGGAATGAGAACTGAGTTTTAACTATTCAGCAACAAATATGTAAATGCCTGCTATATCTCAGGAACTGTTCTGAGTCCTTGGATTACAGCACAGAACAAGCTCCTTGATGTCACAGAATTTACTAAGGAAAGAGACAATGAACAACTAAATGATAATACCAATATAGCTAGCACTTATTTCACACATACTGCCAGCAACTGTACAAGTGTTTTTATTGATTAATAATCATTCATTTCTCACAGAGCCCTAGAAGGGAGATACTATTATTATCCCCATTTTTAGATGAAGTAACTCAGGCACAGTGTGCTAAGATCACATAACCAGGATCAAACTCAGGTGGCCTGGCTATAAACCCAAGCTCTCACCCACTATATAATAAGTAACTTCAGATTGCTTTTAACTACTAGTAAGGAAATAAACAGAGTAAAGTAATAGTGACGAACGGAAGGAAACTACATTGGGAAGGGTGTCAGAGGTAGTCTGAGGAGGCCACATATGAGTTGGAAGATGTAAGTGTTATGAGTGAGGATGACAGTGGCATGAAATAAGGCTGAAGCGGTGTGCAAAGGCCCGATACCACAGACCATAATATAGAGTTAGGATTGTATGCAATGAGAACACATTGAACAACATTTAAGAAAGAATACTTTAAAAATAACCTAATACATGTATTTGAAACCCAAATGTGTTAAAAGGGAATAAGTTGAATTAACAATGACATATCTGAACAGAGGATTAGTGTTCAGCTTTTTTTTTTTTTAAGGAGGATCTCTACCTGCTGATACAGAGTAATCTCCAGACTATATTAAGTCAACAGGGAAGATACAAAATGGTATATTTTGCATAAGAAAGATGGGGAATACATACATTACAAACACATAAATTCACACACACATGTATGTACACAAGAGCTTATTTTTGCAGCTAAACACTGTAAAGGTAAGCAAAATATTAATAAAAAAGGGTAAAAAAAAGTGGGTGGAGAGCCAGGGGGCACAGAAAATGAAATTGCTCTGAATATATAGCTTCTTTTTATATACTTTCACTTTTGAAGTATGTTAATGTTGTTTCTATATGTTCAAAAATAAATTTAGAACATTAAAAAAGCAAATCTAATAACTGAATATAACCTGAAAGAATATATGTAATATACCAAACTGTTAACAATGCCAACAGAGAGAAAATATTTTAAATGACTTGTAAGTGGTAAACAGTAAACATGCTTAGTGGGATTAATTATAGGGACAAAAACCCCCTATAAAGTGTAATATTTAACTTCATTCAACTGTTTTACTATTGGTAATAATATTGGGAGCGCAATTCTGAAACAATTTTATACCTGCTATGGGACAAAGCAAATAAACATGTAATGTTATTAGGAACCAAGGTGTTTTCGGTGTCAGAGAAAAGAGATACACTAATAAAATCAAAGATGAAAAAAAACTAATATTAAATTTTAGTTGGAAATCTGAACATGAATTCAAAATTAAAATACATGCATGTTTCCCCTAAGCTTTAGCCATTGAAAAAGCTTAGCCACAGTGACATTCCAGTTGCAACCAATACCTTTGGTCTTAGATCTGGGTTTGTAAATATCACTACTTAATAAAATAAACCACAACTCCTTGGAAAATTCCTGTTTGCATTTGATAATAGGGAAAGTACAAGATGAGACTAGGGAACTTTGTTGGGACAGAGAGCAAGGGAAACAATGACACCCCTTAGGAGCTGTGCCAAAGGACTGATTTAAACAGACTTCCACTGACCAGCTTTGGGACATCAAGATTCAAGCACTGTAAAGATGTATGTACATTATTGGAAAACATCAGTATAAGTCCAGGAGTCCATAGCAATGCTCCCCAGAAGAAAGGAAGGAAGGGAGTGACAATTTTCAGCACAAATGGAGGTAGAACATTAAACAACTGCATGAGTATGCTGTATTGAATCGAGCTCCCCACTAGCAGAGAAAACAAAATAGATTTATTCCTTGAAAACAAAATAGATTTATTCCTTTCACATCAATTAACAATATCACATCTGGAATTATTGATTAGAGTTAATTATATATTAACCAGGGAAAATACAGGTGCTCAATTCAATGACTGTCTAGAAATAGATTTATAATTATGATCCATTAAATTCCAATACAGAGTAAAATCACATTAGTCAAAAGGCAGCCTGCACAGAACTGGACTTCCCAGGACACTAGGTAGCTTTGACTCTGCTTTTGGTGTGCCAACTTTGGCTCAAGAACAAGGAAATATGGCTATCTTTTCCTGTTAGGATAAAGACTATTCATTTTTATTTTTCAAAAATAATGATGTAAAACTCAGTTAAGTAAGAGCTGCACTATGACACAAAACTGAGTCCAGTGGAGAGTGTCATTAGCAATTCTATGCTCTCCTTTGGTACTTGAAGGTCTAGGAAACGGTGCTGGTATATGTAAACCTGGCTTCTACTCTGTGTGGCCAGGAACCTAGCTTGTTTCCTTTCCAAAACACATCATTAATGACTCAGGAACTTAAAATTTGTAATGAGAGTGGAGGGATGGGTGTGGTCTCTTCCTGCCAATCTGTACCCCAATCTGTGAACCTGAAAAAACTAATGTTCAGAATGATGGCTAGATGTATATTCTTAAATGATTTTTAAGTCTTCAAA